TGATCTGCTACCTCTGCCTTAACTCCAACTGTCATTTCGTACACTACAATGTATTTTACAACATACACTATTTTACAACATACACTATTTTACAGAAATAATACTTTGCTGAATAGAAATCCAACCTTACAAAAGTTTGACAAGTTTTTTCCATAGCATGGCTGGGTATGTAGGGATCTGGAATTCACCGGGAAATATTCGACGAGTTTTAGGAACATTGTGATGTACAATGTGGTCATATAAAATATACATTATGCTTCCAGACGTAGGGTTCTTTCTTTCCAGCAGAGGTAACGCCTTAGTTTAAGATGGGACCCGCTGGTAACTGAAGTGATGAGATTTGATGTATGGGTATGTGAGGTGATGGGGGTTGGTGTTTCGGTAACTGAAGTGATGAGATTTGATGTATGGGTATGTGAGGTGATGGGGGTTGGTGTTTCGGTAACTGAAGTGATGAGAATTGATGTATCGGTATGTGAGGTGTTGGGGGTTGGTGTTTCGGTAACTGAAGTGATGAGATTTAATGTATCGGTATGTGAGGTGATAGGGGTTGGTGTTTCGGTAACTGAAGTGATACCGTTGATGTGGGGTTGTGAGTGTGGGGGTTGGTGTTTCAACTGAGTGATGATTTGATGTATGGGTATGTGAGGTGATGTTGTTAGTGTTCAGTGTGGTGATGTGATGAGAATCAGTGTGGTGGTGTGGTGAGGGGGTCGGTGTTTCAGTAACTGGTGTGTGAAGAGGTTCATGTGTGTGGTGTGTGAGGTGATGGGGTGTGGTGTGTGGTTAACTGGTGATACCGTGGATCAGTGTGGTTACATGTGATGTGTGAGGGAGTTCCGGTGTGGTGTGTTGTGAGTGTGTGATGTGTGGGGAGGTCGGTGTGGTGGTGTGTGAGGAGGTCGGTGTGTTGATGTGTGAGAGGAGGTCGGTGTGGTGATGTGTGGGAGGAGGGTCGGTGTGGTGGTGTGGGGAGGTGGTGGTGAGGTCAGTGTGGTGATGTGGTGATGTGTGGGGAGGTCGTGTGTGGTGATGTGATCGGTCGGTGTGTTGATGTGTGAGGAGGAGGTCGGTGTGGTGATGTGTGAGGAGGTCGGTGTGTTGATGTGTGGGGGAGGAGTCAGTGTGTGAGGTGATGTGTGGGGGGAGGTCCGGTGTGTTGATGTGTGAGTAGGTCAGGTGTGTGTGAGTAGGTGGTGTTTGAGGGGGATGGGAGTCGGTGTGGTGGTGTTTGAGGGTGGTGGTCGGTATGGTGGTGATTGAGGGATGGGGTTCAGTGTGGTGGTGTGTTTTAGGGGTGGGGTTCGGTGTGATGGTGTTTGAGGGATGGGGTTCAGGTGGTGATTGAGGGATGGGGTTCAGTGTGGTGGTGTTTGAGGCGTCAGGGGGTCAGTGTGGTGGTGTGTTTGAGGGGTAGGGGTCAGTGTGGTGGTGATTGAGGGATGGGGTTCAGTGTGGAGGTGTTTGAGGGGTGTGGTCCAGTGTGCTGGTGTTTGAGGAGGTGGGAGTCAGTGTGGTGGTGATTAAGGGTTTCAGGGTCAGTGTGGTGGTGTTTGAGGTGGTTTGGTTCAGGTGTGGTGGTGTTTGTTTGAGGGGCAGGGGTCAGTTTGAGTGGTGTTTGAGGGTGTGGTCAGGTGTGGTGGTGATTGAGGGTGTGTCTGTGTGGTGTGTGGTGGTGTTTGAGGTGGTGGTGTTTGAGGGGATTAGGGTCAGTGTGGTGGTGGTGTTTGGGGGGGATGGGGTTCGGTGTGGTGGTGTTTGAGGGGATGGGGTCGGTGTGGTGGTGTTTGAGGGATGGGGGTCAGTTTTTGAGTGGTGTTTGAGGGGATGGGGTTCAGTGTGGTGGTGATTGAGGTGGTGGGGGTCAGTGTGTGGTGGTGTTTGAGGGGATGGGGAAGTCGGTTTGAGTGGTGTTTGAGGGGATGGGGTTCAGTGTGGTGGTGTTTGAGGTGGTGGGGGAGTCAGTGTGGTGGTGTTTGGGGGATGGGGTCAGTGTGGTGGTGTTTGAGGGATGGGGTTCAGTGTGGTGGTGTTTGAGGGGGTAGGGTCGGTGTGGTGGTGTTTGAGAGGGATTAGGTCAGGTGTGGTGGTGTTTGAGGGGGTGGGGGTCAGTTTGGTGGTGTTTGAGGGGGGGGTCAGTGTGAGTGGTGATTGAGGGATGGGGTTCAGTGTGGTGGTGTTTGAGGGGTCAGGTGTGTTAATGTGTGGGAGGTCGGTGTGTTGATGTGTGAGGACGTCGGTGTGGTGATGTGTGGGGAGGTCGGTGTGGTGTTGTGTGAGGAGGTCGGTGTGGTGATGTGTGATGATGTCTGTGTTGTGATGTGTGAGGAGGTCGGTGTGTTGATGTGTGAGAAGGTCGGTGTGATGATGTGCGAAGAGGTCGGTGTGGTGATGTGTGAGGAGGTCGGTGTGTTCATGTGTGAAGAGGTCGGTGTGTTCATGTGTGAGGAGGTCGGTGTGGCGGTGTGTGATGAGGTCGGTGTGTTGATATGTGAAGAGGTCGGTGATGTGATGTGTGATGAGGTCGATGTGGTGGTGTTTGAGGAGGTCGGTGTTGTGATGTGTGAGGAGGTCGGTGTGGTGATGTGTGAGGAGGTCGGTGTGGTGATGTGTGAGGAGGTCGGTGTTGTGGTGTGTGAGGTGGTCGGTGTGGTGATGTGTGAGGAGGTCGCTGTGGTGATGTGTGAGGAGGTCTGTGTGGTGATGTGTGGAGAGGTCGATGTGGTGATGTGTAAGAAGTCCGGAGTGGTGAAATGTTAGGAGGTCGGTGTGGTGATGTGTGAGGAGGTCGGTGTGGTGATGTGTGGGGAGGTCGGAGTGGTGATGTGTGAGTGGGTTGGGGTCGGTGTGGTTGTGTTTGAGTGGATGGGGTCGGTGTGGTTGTGTTTGAAGGGATGGGGTTCGGTGTGGTGGTGTTTGAGGGATGGGGTTCAGTGTGGTGGTGTTTGAGTGGATAGGGTCGGTGTGGTGGTGTGTGAGAGGATGGTCCAGGTGTGGTGGTGTTTGAGGGATGGGGTCAGGTGGTGGTGTAAGAGGGAATGGGGTCAGGTGTGGTGGTGTTTGATGGGGATGGGGTCGATGAGTCGGTGTTAGGGGGTGGGGGTCGGTGTGAGGGATGGGGTCGGTGTGGTGGTGGTGTTTGAGGGATGGGGTTCAGGTGTGGTGGTGTTTGAGGGGTGGGGTCAGTGTGGTGGTGATTGAGGTTGTGTGGTCGGTGTGGTGGTGTTTGTGGAGGTGTGGTCAGGTGTGTGGTGGTGTTTGAGGAGGTGTGGTCGGTGTGGTGGTGTTTGAAGGGATGGGGTCGGTGTGGAGGTGTTTGAGGGATGGGGTCGGTGTGGTGGTGTTTGAGGGGTGGGGTCGGTGTGGTGGTGATTGAGGGGTGTGGTCGGTGTGGTGGTGTTTGAGGAAGTGTGGTCGGTGTGGTGGTGATTGAGGGGTGGGGGTCAGTGTGGTGGTGTTTGAGGGGTGGGGTTCAGTGTGGTGGTGTTTGACGGGGTAGGGGTCAGTGTGTTGGTGTTTGATGGGGTGATGGTCGATGTGGTGGTGTTTGAGGGTGGGGTCGGTGTGGTGGTGATTGAGGGTGTGGTCGGTGTGGTGGTGTTTGCGGTGGTGCGGGTTGGCGTGTTGGTGTTTGAGGGATGGGGGTCGGTGTGGTGGTGTTTGAGGGATGGGGTTCGGTGTGGTGGTGTTTGAGGAGATGTGGTCGGTGTGGTGGTGTTTGAGGTGGTGAGGGTCAGTGTGGTGGTGTTTGAGGAGATGGGGTCGGTGTGGTGGTGTTTGAGGAGATGGGAGTCCAGTGTGGTGGTGTTTGAGGTGGTGAGGGTCGGTGTGGTGGTGTTTGAGGGATGGGGTTTCAGTGTTGTGGTGTTTGAGGGTAGAAGCTTCAGGTGTGGTGGTGTTTGAGGGATGGGGTCAGTGTGGTGGTGTTTGAGGGGGTGGGGTCAGTGTGGTGGTGATTGAGGAGATGGGGTTCGGTGTGGTGGTGTTTGAGGGTGTGGGGGTCGGTGTGGTGGTGTTTCAGTGGGTGGGGGTCTGTGTGGTGATGATTAAGGGATGGGGTTAGGTGTGGTGGTGTTTGAGGTGGTTTTAGGTCGGTGTGGTGGTGTTTGAGAAGGTGGGGAGTCGGTGTGGTGGTGATTGAGGGGTGGGGTTCAGTGTGGTGGTGTTTGAGGGGGTCGGGGTCGGTGTGGTCGTGTTTGAGGGGATGGGGTTCGGTGTGGTGGTGTTTGAGGTTGTTCGGGTCGGCGTGTTGTTGATTGAGGGGTTGGGGTCGGTGTGGTGGTGATTGAGGGGATTGGGTACGGTGTGGTTGTGTTTGAGGGGGAGGGGGTCGGTGTGCTTGTGTTTGATGGAAATGCGGTGTGTGCTACGTTCCATTGATGAGCTGCAAAGTGGAAGTTTCAATATTCAATTTGTGATTGACTCGAAATAGGTATGATATATCACATGGCAAAATTATTTCAGTGGTACCACTTGGTTTATTTAGTTTGTATCTGAAATTATGCATCGAGATAATGATACGGTCTGCACTTACACAGGCAATGACATGCAAATTTATGAGTTTTCAAACTCTGATACTCTTGGAATATTGGGGCGGTGGGGTAGCCTAATGGTTAAAGCGTTGGCTCGTCACGCCGAAGACCAGGGTTCGAATCCCCACATGGGCACAATGTGTGAAGCCCATTTCTGGTGTCCCCCGCCGTGATGTTGCTGGAATATTGCTAAAAGCGGCGTAAAACCAAACAAACTCAGTCAGTCAGTCTTGGAATATTTGCATGTCTGTATTTTAATGAATGAGTGTAACCAAGGTTTCAATACACACCGCAAGTTTGCGAACCCACTGCTGTTGTATCGAGCATGGTCAATACTCGAACAACACGACGCTGGAAGCAAGAGACGCGTTATTGGTCTAGCCAGAATGATGCATGTGTGAAGTTTTGTTTGAATAACTGTAAAATCTATTGTTTGGTAGCTAGGTACATTCACATCACAACAGCAGCATGTTGACGACGAAACAAAATACTTTAAACAAGCGTAGGTTTCCTATCATTTGCTCTCGTGCCGCACCTTACCAAGGTCTTAACGAGCTATCCTCAACCATTTACCTTCTCCGACTTTGAATTCAGCAGAATAATGGTAAGTAAATTTGTCATATAAGACTGAAAATGTGAATATTATCGTCATTTCAGCGATTTACTTATAATTTTGGTAAATACTTCGCTATGAAGGAAGTCCTCAGATTATTGCTTTGGAATATACGGTTATTATTACAATAAACGTTAAGGATATGGAAACAGCTTACTAAAAAGTTGATATTTAACCATTGGCAGAATACAGCAGAAGATCATTTAAGTACATGTAAATATCATACCTAAAGTTGGCAGAAATATAATCTTCAGTATTGCACTGTGCACTGTAACAGAAATTAATTTCACTTTGGTTTTTCATGAAAAAGATCTCTTGTTGTCATTGAAAGGTAATGTTGACAAGCTACCATCACAATGGCACGCATAGCACACCCATAACGCGTCTGTGTATGATTACCCTAGCGACAGACAAACATGCCCTGGAGTACCATCACCTAGGTAACCAGAGAAAGGATGCTCTGCACTGATCTAAACAACACAGGCTAAATGGTGCCATTAAATCAATGGCTACTTTTCATTTTAACATTGCACTCGTCAAGGTACATTGAAAGTATCGATTAGTCGCAACGGTTACGATGCATAATTATGTTACGTGAATACCAAGTTAGAAACGATACAAATACTTGAACCAACTTTTAAAAAACCCGAAGCTGTTTAGAGATTTGTGTCTCCTTTGCTGATAATCATGCACGAATGCGTGAGTGAGTATGGTTTTACGCCGCTCTTAGCAATATTCCAGCAATATCATGGCAAGGGACACCTTGTAGCATACAGGTATTACGTTACGTCTTCTGCCATTGACGTTTGGGCAGTGTCTATCTGTATTACATATGCATGTATGGTCGCCTGTAAATAGTCTCGTCGGGGTCATATGTGACAGGGGCGTATGCAGCTCTTTGTAAAAGATTCAGGATACAAGGGGAGTAGGGGGTTGCACACAGAGACACACAGAGAGACAGAGAGAGAGAGAGAGAGAGAGAGAGAGAGAGAGAGAGAGAGAGAGAGACACACACACACACACACACACACACACACACAGACAGACACACACACAGACAGAGAGACACAGACTCACACACAGACACACACACACACACACACACGCACGCACGCACGCACGCACGCACCCTCCCTGGATCCGCCTACAGTTGACATCTCAAGGCATCTTGGTCATACATGGCACATTCAATCTAATATATTACATCTTACAGGGTTCAGGGCCGGTTATGGCTTTTTCAAAATGATGGGTGCAAACTATTTAATAAACTTTCAGGACAAAAGGGGGGTTCTTCAAAGTCGGCTCGAACGACGAGTACAAGGTTTTTTAAACTGTCTTCTGCCCAAGCTACGAATGACAAGAACCTGTGTAGTCTATTTACAAGCAACATTGATCAGTACTAGGCCTTCAACGTTAATCGGGGCGGTGGGGTAGCCTAGTGGTTAAAGCGCAAGACCAGGGTTCCATTCCCGACATGGGTAAAATGTGTATTTCTGGTATCCCCCGCCCTGATATTGCTGGAATATTGCTAAAAGTGGCGTAAATCTAAACTCACTCACTACAAGGTTAATTATATAGAATCACGTGAATTATTTCTTTCAATTAATAGGCATATTTGTATTTGATTCATACATAGTTTGGAATATTACAACGTACGCTTCTGTTTGATTTTATTGGATTTTTTTACGAAAATATACGGCTGTGATACGCGATCAAATACTGAATAAATATTACTCTTTGGTTGTAGAGGGAATGCATTTCTGTCCACGTCGGCCAGGCCGGATGTCAGATGGGCAATGCATGCTGGGAGTTATATTGTCTGGAGCACGGCATCCAGCCTGATGGTCAGATGCCCTCGGACAAGACGGTTGGTTATGGAGACGACTCCTTCAACACCTTCTTCAGCGAGACTGGAGCAGGGAAGCACGTCCCCAGGGCCGTCTTCGTCGACCTTGAACCTACTGTTATCGGTGGGTTTAAACGATTAACGTGGCATAATAATTAATACATGAGAAAAACACAATACTTTTAAAAAAGCAATGCCTTACACTCTTCATATTTTACACACCCGAAAATTTATTCCGATTCTTTGAAATTAACAGACGAGATCCGTACCGGCACCTACCGCCAGCTTTTCCACCCCGAGCAGCTCATCACCGGCAAGGAGGACGCCGCCAACAACTACGCCCGTGGTCACTACACCATCGGCAAGGAACTTATTGACCTTGTCCTTGACCGTATGAGAAAATTAGCTGACCAGTGTAGTGGACTTCAAGGTTTCCTCATCTTCCACAGCTTCGGTGGTGGTACGGGTTCTGGATTTTGTTCCCTTCTTCTAGAACGACTGAGTGTAGACTACGGAAAGAAGTCGAAGCTCGAGTTTTCGATATACCCCGCCCCTCGGGTGTCTACCGCCGTGGTGGAGCCCTACAATTCCATCTTGACCACTCACACCACCCTTGAGCACTCCGATGTCGCCTTCATGGTCGACAATGAGGCCATCTACGACATTTGCAAGCGTAACCTTGACATTGCCAGACCAACCTACACCAATTTGAACCGTTTGATTGGTCAGATTGTCAGTTCCGTCACTGCTTCTCTTCGTTTCGACGGTGCCCTGAACGTGGATCTGACCGAGTTCCAGACCAACTTGGTGCCCTACCCACGTATCCACTTCCCTCTGGCTAACTATGCTCCGGTTATTTCCGCCGAGAAGGCCTACCACGAGCAGCTGACTGTCGCTGAAGTCACCAACGCTTGTTTCGAGCCTGCCAACCAGATGGTCAAGTGTGACCCCCGTCACGGCAAGTACATGGCCTGCTGTTTACTTTACCGCGGAGACGTCGTCCCGAAGGACGTCAACGCTGCTGTAGCAGCAATCAAGACCAAGAGAACCATCCAGTTCGTCGACTGGTGCCCCACGGGTTTCAAGGTCGGCATCAACTACCAGCCACCAACAGTTGTCCCCGGTGGTGACTTGGCCAAGGTCCAGAGAGCCGTCTGCATGTTGGCAAACACCACCGCTATCGCCGAGGCCTGGGCTCGTCTTGACCACAAGTTCGATCTGATGTACGCCAAGCGAGCTTTCGTCCACTGGTACGTGGGTGAGGGTATGGAGGAGGGAGAGTTCTCCGAGGCCCGTGAGGACTTGGCTGCTCTGGAGAAGGACTACGAGGAGGTTGGAGTAGACTCGACGGAGGCACAGGGTGAAGATGAGGAAGAATATTGATAACATCTGTCCATCTGTTTCATTTGGTCAAAAGGGAAATGAAATAAGACTTGATGCTTATTGTATTTCGCACTATTCTATACAACAATCGTTTTGTTAAATTATGTAGTTATGGTCACGTTTTCATCAACAACGATGGTCTGAACGAATCTAATGGTATTCTGAACCTAAGATTATGGAATTACTGCTGACTTCTGCGTCTATAATTTTCCTCAAGACATCAGAATTTTAGGATTCTCGTTAAATAGTCATATCTTTTTTGCTAATTTTAGTATTTTTTATTGTATAACTTTAAAGTGACTGATTACAATTTTGTTTTGATAATATTTGATAATATAACAAAGAATCAGCTTACAGAATATTGCACTAATTCTATTTGTGAATGCTATATATTATCATTAATCAGTTCTATATTGTTGAATAAACAATAACATAAACATGTGTCAGATGAGAAAGATATGTTTTTCACGCAGAGGTGTCGCTAGACGTGTGAGTGAGTGAGTGAGTGAGTGAGTGAGTGAGTGAGTGAGTTGGGTTTAACTCCGGTTCGACGAGTATTTATCAATGCGTAGCAATATAAACGAACACATTTCGTTCGAATTTTCACGTGAGGACAGGACTTTCTTGTTTGCTTCACGCAAATCCTGTTGGGAGTCCGGGTCGAGTAAACTCTACATTTTTGAGTTATTGAGTGACTTGGGTTTAACGCCAACAGCTGTGCAGTTATGTCATGGCAACGTAGATTAATGTGGAAGAAAATCCTGAGGTGATGCAAGTTTCCGACGTTCACTATTTTGAGGAAGTTCTATGGACAGTCAACTTCTTTATGCAATGAGTGCAATAGGTAGGAGTAGGTATTAACACCGTTATCAAGCAAGTGATTCTTTACAAATTCTGAAATGCCTCTTAAACAAGTTCACTATTTCGGTCACCGTGACTGTGGTAATGATGCAGTATTCTGTAACTTGTCTGTATAATGACGTACTTGTCTTCTGGGTTTCACCAGCGTAGTCAACGGGTTACAGACTCAGTACACCGTCACCGTGACTGTGGTAATGATGCAGTATTCTGTAACTTGTCTGTATAATGACGTACTTGTCTTCTGGGTTTCACCAGCGTAGTCAACGGGTTACAGACTCACACCGTCACCGTGACAGTGGTACTGATGCAGTATTCTGTAACTTGTCTGTATAAGAACGTACTATTTAGTTCATACATCTGTTGTTGTTGAGATTATTACGGGTTAGGGCTGGACGGAGCTGGAGATTTACGAGCGACTCTTACATTTATGACGTTAATAGTGTCATGTTGGTCAGGGGATGTATACGTCATAGTTATATCGTGAAGTAATGAAGGTAACTGTTAAAGTATGTAGGAGTCAGTCAAAGTAACTGCAATGTCAAAGTCAAAGTAACAATGAAACATTATTTTAACTCCCAACACGAATCTCAGCCGGCTTGTACAATGCATGCCTCCAACAGAGTTATCGTTTTTGTATCTGCAAGATTTTACACATTCATCGTAACTCACATACATTAACACAGACTAACGACTGGCGCGGCGCTAAGGTTGCTTTGAACAATGGCACCCTGGTTGTTTGATGCACAACATCAGCAGTAAACAAGGGCGTGGCGGACTGAGACTGTACGAAGGATGTGACGTACTGTGGTTTAAAGTGGATTTAATATACCATATCTCCCATACCATCTGGAAATCAATATTTTATTATAGAATCATTAATCTTTGTTTACTGTTAAAGAAAAATATGTATAATGTTGACATGACGTAACGTATCCGTGACGTCACCTGCATCGTTATTACATTATTATAGTCTGTTTGTCGATACAAGCCTGTCTGTTCTTCATGAAGGTGAGAACTGGTTTACACATCAAAACCATGATAAAATCATAATGCAAAACCGTATGACTATCTTTTGGATAAAATCAACCCATATCTCTGAATCTTAAACACATGGGTTTAGATTAAATGTGTTTGTCGTTTAAAATTGGATAAAATACATAGTTACACAACACAAATAATGGCACATGCATTCCACCAACAAAGTTTGCAATGTCAGACTGGACATCTTACCTGCAGACCCTTGTTTTAGCGGTTTTATGAATCTCAACAGATATTATCCCTGTGGATTGAACAAGGACTGAATAGTAATATCTAAACAATAACTAACGAGTGACGGGGAATGACCCATACGGTAAATTATCAACATCTACGCCTTAATATACGATAATTCAGAACTCGACACAGGATGAGCGACTGACATTAACGCCAGTCTAAGTATTCCACTGTGATGCTACACTTGGGCATTCTACCACTTTGGTGAAACCCACGTGCACCATACAGACCCTGAAACAAAAATAGTGTATCCAATGTAAAATGAAGAAAGTCTCTGGGGTCCTTTTCATTGTATTTTTTGTATATTTTTAAAGACATTTTTTTAAAAATATGTTCATTTCAGAGACTAAACGTAAGTCTACGTGCTTATAAATCTAGACATAAGTTTACAGAGAGAATCGTCACGCAAACCCATTCTGGTTGCCGAAGGGAAGCAACTCTACACAGTGCATTTGCCAACCGGACAAACACAGAGCAGCGTCCAGGACTCGTGTTCCATAGTCAGGCTTTCACGGCAGAGTGTCGGACCGTGAAAGAAATGTTGCAGAAGGGAGTATAGGCTTAGCACTGGGTACATGAATATTCAACTTGATCGAACGAACGTCTTCCGCTTCCTGTGCTTCGAGTGAACATGATGAAAGTGAATATTAGTAATAGAAGTTGTAGTAATATCATAGTCAGGAAGGGTAACTCTCATTATTTGTAGGAGTTGTGAGTACTCTCCCTTAGACATGACCTAGGCACTAACCGTATGAATATAGATGTCTTTTCCGTTGCTAAATGCCAGTTTACATTAAAAATCTCTTTCATAGGTGAATCGGAAGAAATAGCGAAAGTCCGCACATGCGCAGTGACATTGTCCTTTGCGGCGTCATGACAACTCTTACCTCCTTCCTGTGTGTCAGCCATTTTGACAGAGTACACAACAAAAATGGGAAATAAATTGTTCGGATGTTATGAAGGTGTACTCTAGGATTTGGGATTAGATTGTCTGAAAAGAGATTTTCGTTCATCGACTTTGAGTATGAGAGTGAGTAGTTTAAATGCTTACATTTCTGTAATTGACTGTTTGTTGTTGAACGTCGCACTCAGCAATATTCCAGTTAATATACAGTAGCAGCTGTCTGTTAAAAATCGAGTCTGTATCACAATTCAGGGATCAACAGCATGGGCATCCACCTGCGCAATTGGGACACGGTGACATGTGTCAACCAAGTAAACGAGTCTGACTATCCGATCCCGTTTGTTGTCTCACTGCAAACATTGGTTGCTGAAGACCAATTCTAACCCGGAACAATCGATCGCGATTTCTCTGACTGTACCTACAATAAATATTCCAAAGATTTTCCATGCAGAAAAGTGATTCTGGTAATGTGATACCAAGTGACCACAAAATTCATTTATTAGATCTACTGATTATGTTTTTAGACACTCAAGAATCATGCGTTGTCTTCTCATCGATGAAATGAGCAACTATAGAAGATCTCACTAATCTATAAACATACGATGACTTTATCTTAAAAACAAGCCATCATCCGAATATTTACAAAGTCCATGTCAGGCAACACACCTGCTTGCAGCGTGAGTAAACACTTCCGTCCGAAAACATATCAATTTATGATGTTTGAAAACTCTAACGTCAGGATACTTCTGACTGGACCTTTCTACTTTCTAATCAAATATTCATAGATCTACTTATACTTTTACAGTGCATGTGGTCCACCAACAGTGGTGTTGGGAGATGGGACCAGATGTCTGGTAGACACACTATCTGGATACCAGCTGGTAAACCTGTTAACCTCTCCCTGGGTCCTGGCTGCCTACAGCAAAGCCCATCAAAGCCATACTTTCAGCCATCTGTGACTGGCACCACCGTGTCTCCTGCAGAACAGCAGTCTATGAACCCTGTGTTTCAGCCAGCCATGCCACAGCTACCATCCCATGGCATCAGACATAGGGAGATGATGTGTTTGTCTGGCCCTTTCACCAGTCAGCTTCATATCAGCCTTCCCCAGTCTGAGCTTGATCTGCCCCTGTTGAGAGCAGAGGTATCACAGTATAGTATTGTTATTGCTTTTGTAAATGGAACAAAGGTACATATTTTTCTGTCTCCTCTATGATAAATGCAATGTTTTGATACATTGACTGTAACCCCCATCAGGACTTCTCCTGTGTCATGTCCCCGCTTGACCTTCCCAAACCTGACCCCCAACCCAATCCTGTAGTCCAAATTGAAACTACAGCCATACCTACAGCAAGCCCAACCAAAAGCAAGTCAAAGACCCCTAGCTCGCCAAAGGGGAAGCCTGGCCTCAAGCCCTGCAAACACAAGCCCCACACATTCAGGCCAAAACCCAAGCCAAAGCCAGAGAAAGTGAGGATGCCTCACCCAGAGAGCAAGCCCTACTTTGTGCCTCAGCCTCTTGGATCTAAGCACATCAAACCCCAGAGCAGAACCCTTGGGAACCGTATCACTAAACCCTTGGGTGACCATGGTATCATTAAGCCTTCATATAAGCTTAGTTTTGCTGAAGAGTTGTTGTTTGCTGATAGTGCTTACTTGATCCAAATTCTGTCTTGTCCAGTACAGGAAGCAAGACTTTGCCTGTTAAGAAAGTAAAGGATAAGGTTATTTCAGAATCAAAGAGTACTAAGTCAGGTGATGTCACTGTTACTAAACAAAGTGTTAATCTATCCAAGGCACTTGACAAAGCTGAACTCAACTCTGATGATGATGAATATGATGTGGAATATCTGTATCTCACTAAACTCATTTTAAGGAAAAAGAAAAAGTCCATTGCTCAGCCTAGCACAGAGCCCCTGCCCTCACGCAAGAGGAAGTGCCCAGATGACAACTGCGAGGTGCCCCAAACTGTGAAGCAGACAAGACTGGAGGAGCCCCAGGACACTCTGGAGGACTTGGAAGCTCTCCTGGCTGAGTACAGCACCAATCTCTCATCTGGCACCAGGGACTTCTAAACACTGTAAAGTGCAGGGGACAGGTAAGTATAGACAAGTGAATTGCGGTTAGGCTTATGTTAGTGCACACCCTTCAACAAGTGTTTCTAAAAATAACGCCTTGGTTTAGTACTAGGCAGTTCTGTCAACTTGCACATTGAAAGCACATTTTCATCTGTTTCCACTTCTTTTGTATTTGCCAATATTCAGCATTGATAGCTACTTCTTAGTGAGTGCTTTGTTAATCTGATATATATAAAATGTAGGTCACTATTCAGTGTCTGTATCAATATGTGATTTATAGTAATAATGTACCCTAATCTGCTCTGCTCTGTCCACCCTTCTC